GGAGAAATGATGGGAAGTGGTCAATGTATACGTCCCAAAAAAAAAAATAAAAAAATAAATTAATAATAACTGGAAAAAGAATTCACACTAATAAAAAAAATCTCTTCTAATTTTATATGTAATGATATGACAAATTACATATTAACTTTTGATTTATTACAAATTAAATCATATAACTCAACTCCATTGCGATGTCATTGCAAATAAATTGTAAATTCCAAAGTGTAAGTATTTAACATTAATCTGGAAGAGTTACCCTCTATCTTTCGTAAACAAAATTCTTGTTTTTTCAATTAAAATTCGCCAAGAAATAGATAATTAAATGTGTTGCTAATAATAAATTTAAATATCTAAAATAAAACATCATTTTCTTATGGAGAGTTATATAATTGGAAAGATTCCAAAACTAAATTAAAGACGACAATAATTCCATGTACTCATAAAAATCAGAAAAACATGCATACAAAATCAATATGCAAATTGATTTTAGGTAATGTGAAGACTACAACCATAATGAATTTAAACTACATTAATTTTTCTATATATAAATTGTAGTGCTCTTAACGGTTCCATTCAGCAGAGAACCATTTGGGTCTAACCCCAAATAACACTTCAGCTACATAGTTAGCAGTCCTTGTCGGTTCCTTGATGTTGTATTGGGATATTAAATTTGTGGAAAAATAAAAAGAAAGAATAAGTGAACAAAGTAAAAGCTCATTGCCAATCATGGGATTAGAACACTTTATCTCTGATACATTTCGGATAAGCTACATAAAAAATATAAATAAATAAAAGTTAGGATAAGAATGCACAAACAGAACACCAAAAAAAAAAAAAAATGAAGTAATGTATGTTCTTTTTTTTTCTATAAAAGGAAGACTAATAGAAAAATGCATTGTTAATTATTCTTATCAAAGTTGGGATAAGAATGCACAAACAGAACACCAAAAAAAAAAAACCCTAAACGCATCAATTTTTAGAAAGACAGAACCCATGGATACATCAGAACATTATCTCTGAGAAACATCAATCTGCCCAACCCTCTCTCTCTCTCATCTCTCCTCTCTCCAGAAACGGTATAAGCAGCAGCAGAACATTGTCTCTCCAGAAACGGTATATACATCAGAACATTGTCTCTCTTCTCATCCTCTCTTAGATCAGATAAGCAGCAGCGGTATGTCGATCCATCCATGGCAACGATGATGATGAGCGGTGGTAGCAGTGATGAGCAACATCGGTGCCCTATGAGATACATCTTCCCTACTCTCTCTCTCTCTCTCTCTCTCTCTCTCTCTCTCTCTCTCTCTCGTCTCTCCAGAAACATTGGTCTCTCTCCTCTCATCCTCTCTCAGATCAGATAAGCAGCAACGGTGGAGATGACCAAAGGAAGTGGCGTTGTGCATTGGTGATGACTGGAGGAAGTGATGAGCAGCACCATGGCTGGGTCGCGAGAGAGTTGTCGAAAAGAGAAATTCGATGAGCGTGGGTGGGAAGTAAGGCTATGAGAGAGAGAGAGAGAGAGAGAGAGAGAGAGAGAGAGTGGGTGTTTTGAAAGACTGAAAGGCAAAAAGAGATGAGTTTATAGAGAGAGTTTGAAGAGCATGGGTCTCTCTTCTATAGAGAGTGGGTGGGTGGATAGGTGGGTGGCTGAGACTGATGAGGATACGTGGGTGAGTTTGAAGTGTGGCTCTTGGTCGGGAAGTTGAGGATGAGTGATAGAGAATGTTTCATCTCTACTGTCCATCTTGAAGAAGAAATAGATCATGACCGTTAAAATGTCCTAGTAGGACAATTATCTCTAGGATAAATTCAAAAACCCTCTTTCCATATTATATAGATATATATATTAAAATCTAATATAAAAAAAGAAAAAAAAGGATTGAAAGAAAAAAAAAATGGGAGAAAAAATCAAGTAAGTTTTATTTTTTCAATAAAATTTCTATTGAGTCCTACTAACACTATATTGACACTATTGAGAGTTATTAATAGGACTTAATTGAAATTTCATTAAAAAAATAAGACTTATTTCATATTTTTTTCAAAAAAAAAAAAGTGCAGCAGTTTTAGAATATTCAAGTTGCAACATTAGTGTAGATCAAAAGTTCTTTCTTCGGTTCATTAATCATAACAATATTATCACTTAAAATAAATTTTATTAAAAATTTTATGACCCATGGATCAATCCAACTCATTCAAAACCTGAGAATGAGCTGGCCCAACTTTGCCCTAAAATATATGAGTTTAACGTAGGACAAAGGGTAGAACTTGTGGCTTGACTCAATAGACTTTTCAAGTCTAATGAATTAATTAAATATCTTTATAAGAAAAATATTTTATCTTTTACATAGAGCATCTTATTATTAATTTTTATTATTTTAATCCAAATTTGAAATCAAAGTTTTAAATCATGCAATCACAGTCATTAAAAAAGAGACATCCTTAGGGTTTGAGTTTAGATCTTCTATGATTGCATTATAAAATTAATTGTTAAATAAATGTTATATTTATCCAAATACTAGTAGTTAGTTTTACGAACACAAATTGGATAATAGTAAGGTCTCCATAGCATGACACATATTGATATTGACAAAGAATTCTAAAACAGACAAATTTAAATACAATCTATATTTTTATAAGTTTTTTACTACTTACAATTGTATCTAAAGATGTAGAATTCATCTGATTTTATAAGGACAGAAAAAGAAAATAAGCAATAAATGATTTGACTATTTTAAAATTATTTGAGAAGTATTTTTTTAGTAACATTACTTTAAAATAAGTAAATAAAGTTAATATCTTTTAGATTTTTTTTTATAAAAAAAAAATATGCAAAATGTAAGATAAAAGGTAAGAAATCTTATATATTAGTTTACTTTTATTTTTGATTTTAACTTTTCAATTTTTTTTTCTTATATATTAGTTTACTTTTATTTTTGATTTTAACTTTTCAATTTTTTTTTTAAAGTACAATATCCTCTTCTCAAACGGACTATCTATACAATTTTTTTTTTTGTTACAGGAAAATCCTCCCTATTCTCCCGCAGGTCCAAGGCTGCATCTCTTATAGAAATCACCAGAGTATTCTGTTAGTCGTTCTGAACGATGAGACTATAACCTACCTTGGAACTTGCCCAGATCTCCCAAGACAAGTTTCGCTTAAGTCAGGACTCGTAAGGCAGCGCCCCTTACAGAGATCACTAGGGTATCTTGTTAGCCGTTTCGAGCGAGCAGACTATAACTTTGGAACTTGCCCCGACCTCTCGCACAGCGGGGGAGCATTAAACCCACACCAAGTGCTAATTAGACAATCTGATATCCAACCTCTTAACCAACTATGCTTTGCCCAGGAGATTACCCTGACCTCCCAAGACAAGTTCCGCTTAAGTAAGGATTCGTACAGCGAGGGAGCATTAAACTCACACCAAGTACTGATTAGACAATCTGAGATCTAACCTCTTAACCAACTATGTTTTGCCCAGGAGATTGGTCCAAGAAGGAAGGGAATTGAATCTGTGACCTGAGAGCTTAAACCCCGGGCCTTAACCACCACAATGCCATCCACCCCTAGGTTTATCTATACATTTAAATAGTAGCTATTGCTTCTTCTCAAATAAGAGCTTTTACACAAGAACATAATCATCGTTAGACACATCAAAGAGTCGTTTGACAATTGATTAATTTAGTTAAAAAAATTAAAAATTATTAAAAATATTAATAAGTCAAAAAATTTTAACTCACAAAAGAAAAATATCAAGAATTCCTTTTCATTTATGTTATTTTTTACACATTTTTTATATAAAAAATAAAAATCTCAATTTTTTTTTATCTCATACTTTAATAAAAAAATACCGAAAAAAGTCACTTTGTCAACGGGGTTAAGCTATTATGTAGACAATAATATTAGGAATAGAATAATATTAGGGATATTAGATTTGTTACCAAATAAATAACTAAAATGTGTCGTATGGGTATGGGTATGGAATCTGTAATTTTGTAAATCCCATGCCCATATAAATAACATTTGAAAAATGCTTCATATCACTAATTCAATATTACTAATATATCACTAATGACATGACATCATGTAGACCACACTATTGATGTGATAGTTTAGTTTTACCTTTATTTGTTTATTTGTTTTTTCTTACACTTATCAACTCATTAATGATGCTTTTAAAACTCCCAAGTTAGTGTTCTAAGGTCATGTTTGATTCACAAGATTAATAGTGAAATATTAATAATCCTATTAAATTAGTATAGTATTCACTATCTAATTGGATTAATATCCATTGGATTAATAATCTCACCCCTACCCAATTATTAATAATCCTACAAATTTGTTGGATTAATTATTCATTGGATTAATAATCCTAAACCAAAATATTAAAACAAATATAGAATAATTAGACTCACAGATTAATAATCTCAATCCCATACTCTAATCCACTCAATCAAACATATCCTAAATACATTTACCATAGGAATATTCTCATGGCCCAACTATTCTCTTCGCAAGGCCAAAATAAATAAAATAAAAAAAAATGCTACGGACATTTCAAAGAAGTTAAGGAAAAAATGGGAAATTTAAAAAAATCTAAGTAAAAGTCCAATGACAATCATTTCAAAAGAGACTTTGACAATCATTTTAAATAAGCAATAAATATATCTTTAAAATAAATTATTAAATTTTTTAAAAATAAATATAATGAAATAAAAATATTACGATGATTGATCCTCCAATAAAATGAGAGAACCCTTAATTCATTGTTGACTATTTTTGAGAGTGTCCTAAAAAACAAGAGCCTTCGTGTGGATGTGTGTTAGCTTTTTAAATTTTTTGTTTTTTACTATTTTAATTTGGAATTAATTTTTTTATTTGAGATGAATTTTTTTAATTTTTGTAAGAAAAAAAAATTATAATTTAAATATAATATTTTATTTTATTAAATTTTTAATTATTTTATTTTAGACTATTTTAACCCAAATAAACGAAGCCAGAATCACAAGCTCAATTTTGGCTGTATTTTTGTTCTCACATGGTTTTTGTGCCATTGCATATTATAGAGAGAGACTCGGATCGTTGAAACCAATGCAAAACCCATCTCCAATGGCGGTATCTGAGTCTACCCTTTTGATTGTTGACTCGGATTCCATGGTTTTAGGCCTCTGAAGATCTCCCAAAACTTCGTCTTCTTATTCGGAACAACCACAACACCCGGTAAGCTTCTTCTGTTTCGCTGGCTCATGTTAGCGCGTTCACTGCTGTTTTGCTCCCTATTCTCACTCTCTTGTTTATTTGCTTCTCATTTTTCAGTCAGAGGGAATGTCTCTGACAAACCCATTTTGTAGAATTCCCCATAATTTTCAAATTATTCACTCTGTTTGATTGTCTTTATTTATTTATTTTTTCTGGAATACAAAAAAAAAGTTTTCAGAAAGTGGGTTGATTTCAGATTTCTTGTTTTTGGAAGCAAAAGTGGGTTGATTTCAGATTTTTTTTTTTTGGAAAACAGTTTTCTAAAACAATTTGCCAAACAATTTTTTTTCCCATGAAAACAGAAAACAAAAAGTGAAATGCACAATTGTTTTTGAGTTGCCACAATAGTTATTTTCTGTGGTGGCTCTTGTGAGATTCTTTGATGACAATTTTTTCACAATCAAATTTAGCTGTTGCACCAAAAAAATAAAAAAAAAAAATTAAAAAACTTTAGTTTTTAGGCTTGTTTTGCAGTAAGAATGGCTATCCTTTGGTGGTTAATGCTTATCCAATAATGTCATTATACTTGGCTTCCTCATTAACTTAAAATTCAACTCTTTTTGGGTAGCCCGAACGACTTCTCAATTTGATTTTTGTGGCATCAACTATGTCAATTTGTCACTGCCAAACTTCATTTGAATTTTGTTGCATCGTGCCTATGACATTATAATTTGTGACCTAATGTTCATTTTGGGTCACTTTAAGTGCCAACAAAGAGTTGAAAGCAAAAATATTGTTTTGAGAACTTGGTGCAGTTGTTGAGAACATGAAGCCAATTGTGGATGACCAAAAATTTTCTTTAGTTGTTTGATTTTCTTGGAAGCTACAGAAGTGGGGAAATTGAAAAATAAAATTCCTAAAATTATTTATTTTTTCATTCAACTTGCGTACTATGAGGAAGTGTTCCACAAATCAGAGAGATTAATCTTGTGCCAGTTGAATGTTGAAATATCATAATTTGAAATTGTGGAGCGTTTGACTTGTTGCAAGCATGTAGGGTTGGACGTGGTATTACATTTGGCCTCACACAACAATGGAAATCAAGGGAAGCTCTTAAGTGGATGAAGGGGAAATTGTACAATTGTTATTCACTAATTATCCTATTGGCTTTAAGGGTTCTGATTGCCAAACTTTTTTGTGTGTTTCAATACGTTTAAATGCATACGCTGTCTGTAGTAGATGGAATGTTTCTTAAAATTTCAGAGTTGGTAGAATGTCATGTAGAATATTGTTAAATTATAAACAACCAACTCATCTAAAAGTTTAAGCTATTAAAGAGAGGTCTAACTCATTTTTCTTAGCACTCCCCTCCAAGGGCATAGTATGTGAAAGTCAGTGAACCCACTGAACATTGAGAGATTTTTACTAGTATTTATGTGAGATATCATGTAAAACTTTAGGGAGGTTTTATGAATTGACACACCTAAAAATTGTTAGAAGACAAATATGATGGTGTCAATTTTGGGAAACAAAACTTAGTTGAGCAATAACGTTAGGGTGATTATATTCTCCCACCACATTTTGTTTACCACCTGACTGACATACGTGATGCTTATGTAATTATTGTCTAGTTGAGAGCTACTCTTCCTTGTTAGTATGTGATGCTTATGTACTTATATATAAGTTTAGTTTTCTGCTCTCTCACGAACATTCTTGTGGACTGAATATCATGTAAAAGTTGATTTTGATAAGTTTTTTTATAACTAAAAATTTGGCGTAATAATTTTGATGATGATTTGTTGAATGATCCCACTAAATAGAACTTTTGGCTCCGTCACTGCTCCCTTCACATGTAGCCCCTTCTATGTGAGACATCCACATCAATGTTTTTTTGTCACATGTGAATGCGTTCTTGCTTCTTGCTTCTTGTTATAAGTGGCTAAGTCACCAAGGGAGGTGATGAGTATTGAAGGCAGGCCTTACCTACTCTAATATCATGTTAAATTGTTAACAATCGCGGTAACAACTCAATTAAAAGATTAAGCTAGTTGAAAGAGGTGTAATTTTTTTTGGGGGGTCTTAACACACATTTTTTTTTTGTTGATAAATAATAAATTTTATTAAGAAAGCATCAAGAAGATGCAACAAAACCAAGACAACTAAAGGAAGAAAACAAAACTCGCCTAACCAATTACATCGTCCAAAAAATCTAAGAAAGAAAATATATCCGGATCCACTTTACATTCCAAACCAACTATACAAAGTAACTAAGAACCAATCCTCCAACCACGACACCGAACGCTCAAGTCCTTGGAAGATTCTCCTATTTCTTTCTAGCCAGACTAACCACATTAAACAAAAAGGCACCAACGACCACACTCGTCCCTGATGCCTCCCAACTCAGGCCCCCCTCCAACTCCACAACATGTCCATAACCCCCTTTGGCTGCACCCATGTAAACCCAAAAAGAGAACAAGCTAGCCCCCAAAGTCGAGAAGCAAGAGAACAATGGAGAAATAAGTGGTCAACGGTCTTCGCATCTACACAACACATACAACACCGATTCAACAACACGTACAACACTGATTCAGTAACACATGCCCTCGACAAACTAGATTATCAATAGTAAGATTGTGGCCCAAAGCAGCCGTCCATAAAAAGAAAACCACCTTAGAAGGAACTCGAGGCACCCAAATACTCCGCCAAGGAAACACACCTCCCACCTCCCCCACCAAACACCGATAAAAGGACCAAACAGAGAACTGACCTTTAGCACCCACCACATTTCAAACCAACACATCTTCTTCCATATGTAAAAGGCCCAACCCATACAGAAAGGCGAATAACTCCCCCAACTGATTCACTTCCCAATCCTGAACCTCACGCCGAAACTGGATGTCCCAAACCACCACGTCCCCTGCCCCCAAATAAGAAGCAACCGTGGCCTCCCGATCCCTGGCAATGCTAAAAATTAAAGGGAAACGCACCGCCAAAATCTAACCTTCTCCCCAGTACCCACACGAAAAGTCACCCTCTCCCAAAACTCCCCCTTTCCCAAGCAAATTCCTTTCCACAAGCCCCGCCCATGTGATCCCATCACTTCCCCAGACCGCCAATCCCCCTCACCAACACCAAATTTAGAAGCCACCACCCTTCGCCATAAAATGGGTCTTAACACACATTTAAATTATCTTAAAAGTTTTCATCATCCTCTTTTTCTTTCGCTCTTTTCTATTTGTTTATTTTTTGGGTAAATCTTGAATTTAAATAGTGGTCACCCCTTTGTTAAGCAAGAATTTATGAAAGGACAAATTTATAATACACCTGTCTTTGCAATCTATGATTTATATCTAGTTTATGAAGAATTTAGTTTTTGTTTTTCCATTCCAATGTAGACTAGCAAAAATTGTTCTTCACATAATGAAATGTCATTTGCTTTGTTTATGTTCTTCTCTTCACAGATGTAGCTACAGTAATCCCTCGTCTTGGATTCATTCAATCTCACTTTTTTTCTTCCCCCCCCCCCCCCCCCCCCCCCCCCCCGCCAAAAAAAAAATGAAAAAAAAAATAAAATCATGCAACGACGGTGGGGAGTACAAGTATTATGGTACTTACTAAATGTCTCTTGCTTGTTTATTGATTTTGTTGGCTAGTACTTGTTTCTTCAAAGTTCTAATTGTCAACCTCCCGGAAGACTTCTTTGAAAGCTATGAGTGCAGATTCAAATAAATCCCCTTCAAATGGATGTGAATTAATATTTGATGAGAAGCAGGAAAAGGTATTAAGCATATTTTATGTATTCTTCTCTAATTTGTAAGTGTATCCGTAAGTATTTATATTCTGTGTTTAGCTTAATGTTTGTCCATGCAAATGTTGCTATCAGAGGGAAAAAAAAAAGATATTTCAGGCTCAAAATTCTTCCAATGTTTGCAGATTAATGTGTTGAGGAGTTTGCTTGGGCCATTGCCTGATAAGTCATCTATTTATTGTTCTGATGCATCAATCTCTAGATATTTAAGGGCACGGGCCTGGAATGTCAAGAAGGCAACTAAAATGATGAAAGAGACCTTGAAATGGAGATTGGAATACAAGCCAGAAGAGATTAGATGGGTAACCACTTAGCTCACTGTTAATTTTTTGTAATCTTTTGTTAAAATTGATGTATTATTGATTGATGTATGTTATCTATTACAAATGGTGAGGGGCTCCTTATATAGGAGATGTAGTGGAGTAGGTGGTAGTAGGTGGTAGTGGTAGGTGTGTAGTAGGTGGTAGTAGGTGGTGGTAGGTGTAGTAGGTGGAGTAGGTGATGGTAGGTT